CTCGCCGCCCCAAGAGGCCACGCAGAAGGCACGCTGCGTTACGGGATAAAAGTAGCGGAGCTGCTCGGCTCTCGCTCCCCAGTCACGCTAGAATGAGATTAAAAGGAAAGGAGGACAAGAGCCACTCGAGCCCGGATGCCATTGGGCGCCTGCAGCCAGAGTCCTCCCAGCGCCTGCATTCCCACAGTGGCACCCGAAACAAGCAGAGCACAAAATGCACGCTGCAAAACAACCACCGGCGCGAAACGAGGGCCCGCGGCGTGCCGGGCAGCTCCAGCCACGTCGGCAGAGCTCGGGATGCAGCGGGAGCCTCGTGTTCGCGGGATCGCTCAAGTCAACAGGCCTTTCTTTCCCTGATTTGAAAGCCGGCTGCGCGCTGGGCCGGCGGTCACGGCGAGGTTCGCAGCGCGCAAACGGGCACGAATAACCAAACAAAAGCTCTGAGGCTTGTTCGGATCAGGAAGGTCGGTACTCACGGAGCTCTGCCCAGAGACATTTCAGACCCAGACCCCAGAGCAGGCTAACTCGCCCTGGAAACTCAACAGCAGCCGACTAAAAGTCGCTCCAGCGCAGACAGAAAGCCAGCCCGCAGGCAGTCCCACCTCAGGCTGGAGGAGAGCGAGACGGAAGCACCATTCCTTTGTTAGGGAGAAGGAGAAGGCGTTAAGGGCTCGCAACGCGGGCAATGCCTGGAGGTTCACGACGGCTGGGCCGGGCAGCTGGGAGGGCAGCTGTCCCCAAGCAGGCAGCGCCGGACAAAGCTTTCACGTCACACGTGAAGGTTTTGCCACCGCAGGACTTTGTCAATTCAGATCTCACGTGAGCTTAAGGAAAACATTCCATAAAATATAAAAAGAGAACAAGTAAAAGTGTTGAATAGGAAGGAAAACATTTTGCTAAACAATAACTAAATCCCTGCAGTGGCTGAAATCTCGTGACAAAGCTCTTGTAGCTGAACACAATTAGGCCCAAAAAACTGGGGCCCAGATCCTTGGTGGTTACTGACCCCGACTACAGCCAGTATATTCCATGCTGCCATTTGGAATGA